GTAGGTCTAGCCGTTCCGAAGATACATGACAAAAAGAACCAAAAACGGTAATTCAGTTTTTAAGAAAACGGAGCGTCCGATTTGAATGATTTTAAAAACATTTCACTTGTATTGACAAGGTGAAGAACTGATTAATTTTTGGAAAGGCACATCTAGCAGTTTCGAAGATCTAGTAAAAAAAGTAAAAAATACCATTTTGAGGTCAAAAATGATCAATAGACATATGCACATCAAATTATCAGATATTTTATGAAGATTTTAATAATGTGTATCAATTTTGTTTACATTTCTATGGGTTTTGTAACATCGTCTGTCCGTTAGACGGCGACGCGGCGCTTACGCGCTTCGATGTTGCGTCTGCATGCAGCTAAAGCAGTGCGATTGCTTTGAAAAAAGTTCAAACTTTCCAAATAATTTCAAACTAAAAAAAGCATTTTTTTTTTCAAAAATTTAAAATTTCTCAAAAATCTAATTTTTTAAATTTACAAATGCCGTTAACAATTTTGTGGTGGTAACCGATACAAACTTCACTCCGTAAAAGAAACATCTTTGACATTTGTAAACACGTTGTATATGTCAGGTTATGTTGAAAATAATAGTTAAATGTTTTTAAGAGATGTAAAATAATATAAATGTAAATAAAATAAATAAAGTTGTGTTAAAAACAAATTAAAACAAAATGGTGAAAAAAGGCTATAATTGGAAAGCACGTCAAGTGGTTGAGACAAAATTGATAATACTGCTACTCGAAAGGTGTTTTTATAAACAAAATATATTAGTATCTTGTTAATAACTTTATTATTCATTCTATTTTATGTTTATAGATACAAGTTGAGTTAGAAAAAAGCGAGTAGTATAACAATTATGACCAAAGTAATGAATTAGTGATACCTTCCAAGAAACGTGAAACGAAATTAAAAAATAAAATGAACATACGAAGAAACTTTTATCCAAAACACAAAGAAACGATTGGAGAAAATTGTTGACAAGAAGAAAAAGAAAGAAAATGTATGTATGACAACAAATGCTATATAATATAATATTGTTGTTCGGAAAGTAACTTCCTTTTTTATACACATTTTTGCACGTAATTTTCGTACAATAATCAATTACTTTAATAAATTATGTATTGGCAGTTTTGATCGAACATTTTTTGTCATATTTCTGGTATTAGCATAATTCCGAAATCATAAATGTTTTGGTTGTTATTGGCAAGAAACTGATCAAAGTGCTTTTTGACAGGCTGATTTGAGGTAAAGATTTTACCACCAAAAAATTTTTTTAGTGACCTGAATAAATAATGGTCCGATGATGGCAGGTCTGGAGAATATAATGAATGTGTCTTTGGGTCCCATTCCAGCTTCAAAAGCTTCTGGCGATTGACCAAACTTTTGTGAGGTCTTGGGTCGTCTTGATGCAGGACTATACTTTGCTTGTGGGTTAATTCTGACCTTTTCTATTGAAGTATATCATTTAGTTTATACAGCTGATGACATAAGGCATTCGAATTGATCGTTATGTTATCCTGGAAAAGCTGAAAAATGAACAACTTCTTTAAAATCTTACCAAACATACTGCATCACCTTTTTCTGGCAAATTTCAGCTTTGCATCTGTTTTGAGCAGGTTCTTTTTTTTTTGTTTCATGGACAATTGCGTGTATTGTGTTCCTTACATTCCATTTGAAATTCCTAGTGACAATTCACTTCAAAACCTCATCATTTTCAAGACTTTTTAGAGGCAAATCGCGGACGCTAGGGCGATAATGCTTTCCGTATTTA